TTTGGTGGTGGTGTCCCGCTATAATATGCCGGTTGGCCCTGTGTAATGATTGTCTGGCACAGATGGAATATTCGAGTTGTTTCATGTCTTAGTAATTCCAGTTCAAGGGGCTGGCACCTACCGGCATTATGGCGGGACCATTGCTGTGTTGTTGTTGTTGTTGTTGTTGTTGTTGTTGTTGTTGTTGTTGATGATGATGATGGTCGTGGTGGTGGTGGTGGTGGTGTGCAATAGTGCCAATACACAGAACAGATAGACAACATCGTGGTCACTTCACAGAACAAACCCTCGCGTATATACACACACACACACACACACACGACTGCACTAAACGACGCCGATGTCACGACCGCCAACACACGACACGCCAGCGCACCCAGCGCGAGTACATCGTGGAGTACCTTCGGCTGCACCTCCGCATCGCTCGGGCAGCAAGAGAGGGCTGCGCCGAGGGCGACCGGGACCCCATCTTCGACGCCGTACCCACGCTCTACAGGTTGGTTTGCTCCTTGTTTGTGTATGTAGCCGTGACAGGGGGGGGGGGGGGGGGGGGGGACCCCAAACTCGGGATGCCCGAATCCCCCAAACATTTACCCCCCCCCCCCATAAAAACCGGGGGGGGACACCCCGGGGTTTCCCCGGACCGGGGTTCCCCATTACCCAAAGGGAAAACCCCGGGGGGATTTTGGGGAGCCCCAAAAAGGGGGGCCCCCTCCCCCTAAAGGGGTTTCGGCATTTTTTGTTTTTTTTTTTGGGAAGGGGAAAAACCCGGGAAAAAATAAATTTTTTTTTGGGGGTTTTCCCTCCCAAAAAAATTTTTAAACCCTTTTTTCCCCCCCCCGGGAATTTTTACCTTTTTAAAAAAACGGGGGGGAAAACCCCCCCTTTGCGGGGGGGGGGGTTTCCCCCCCCCCCAAAAAGTTTCTCCCCCCCCCCCTTTTTGGGTTTCCAAAAAAAAAAAAAAAGGGTAAAAAAAAACGGTCCCCCTCCTTGGGGGGGGGGGGGGGGGGGGGGCACCCCCCCCCCCCAC